AGAACCACTGCTCTCTGCCCATCTCTGAGCTCAGCACCAGTTCTCAGTGGAATAAGCTGATAACATGGCTACTAGTATCTCTTGTCTTTGAGACAAGAAGTGAAATGAAGGATATCATCAGGAAATGAAATTGCAGATATAAAATGAGTTTAAGGAAAATGTTGCTTTGGGAATTATTTTTGCTGATCGGGGTCATTTACATAATGTAGGTCACAGGTGAATGAATTTGGGGGTTGTGAAGTGCCTGGTGACAGAGCCCTTACTAAAGGTAGCCTAACAGCTGTCTCCACGCCCCCACACCCCATTGGCACACTCTCCGCACAGCCCTCCCTGCTCTATCTCATATAGGAGGGAGTGTTTGGACTTCCAAGTAGGAGTTATGCAAAACCCGAAAATAGACTCTCAGAGTGCACCCAGACATAATCATTCCTTGCGGCTAGAAGGTCACTGTGTCTGCTTTTCCTGCCAACGCACCCCTGGCTCTTAATCTATGGCCGCCTTGTGAAGCAAGAGCTCTGTGCCAGGAAGTTACACTTGGTGACTGTGAGGCATTAGGAGAATTTAAAATCTGGTCAATAGGGTTTTGTAAGGGCAGGCCAGAGGAGTGGGGTTAGACACAGTTTAAGAGGAGGATGGTCTTTTTAACAGCCTTTGGTTCTGTGGCCTTGGAGCTTCCATCACTCCGTTTTTAACAACGTGAAAAAGAGCTATCTGGCTCTAGTTCCAACTCAACTCCACCCGCCCACCCTGCCAAAAAGCGGAGAAGGCATCCGCCCCAGCTGTTGAGGGTGGGTCTCCAAGTAGTGGGGTGGTGCTTTTGTTGTTTGCTTTGCACTTCTCCACATCTTCTGTAATCTGCCTTTCTTGCTTTTGTTTAAAACACACACGCGTACACATATCCATTTGAAAAGCCAAACTCTACCAGCTAACTCTCTAATTGTGCTCCTGTAGTGCTCAGTATTTGTGGGCTAAGAATTTCACCAGTGTGGTGACAACTCCGTGGAAGGAGCAACTCCGGCCTCTGCCCCTCATGAGGCCGCACATGAGCACTTGTGTCTGCAGTGGGGAGGGACTGCTTGGAAAGGCTGGGCTGCTGACCTGCGAGCCCTGGTGGCAGCCAAGTTGGGTAGCTGAAGGAAGGATGCTGGAGGGAAGCCAGCCAGATACCTCGGCCACCCAGAGGGGAATTACACTTACATCCCCCTGCCTCCAGCAGAGAGGTCTGCTTGACAGAAAATGTCAGCTCAGGTTCATTCAGAAACACTGGTATCATCCCGCAAAGGCCCAGCCCAGGCATGTTGCCAGCCCTGTGCTGGGGATTGGGAAGATCCTGTTTTCCAGAGCTGTAAGGATCAAGTCCAACGTAATAAAGAGCAACAAATTATATGGGGGAGAAGGTTGCTTTGACAAATTCCAAAAATCCTGT